TCAAAAGTATGTCTATGTAATATTAGAATTTTCTGAGACAATGAATTTTGGTTTTTCATTTTTTCCCCTGTAAGCGGTTTTTATTTAATAGAATTTTTTGGACAAAAAAATTGCAAAATATCGCAAAATATCGCCTTGCTTATAGTATCGCAATATATCAGGATATATCGTATCGTGACTCCTCTGTCATGATATGTATCGTAGCACCAAATTCTTGCCAATACACAGCCCTAGCAACTAGCAACTTTTTTTAATTACGTCTTGATTTAGCCGAGTGACCTTTGATTCAATCAGATTTAGATTACTAATTAAATCAAATTAAATGAAGTTGGGTTATAATGAATTTACATAACCCCCAGGTATTATAAATTAATATCAAATTATTTTGTGTGTTTTATATTGTCGCTGACTGAATATTAACAGATATTAGTAGGGATGCGTGATATATTGGCATTAGGGTTGGGCATAATCGTATCGTTTGCAAAATCGTCAGAAAAGCGTTAATCGATTAATTTAATATAATATAATATAATGTAATATAATATAATATAATGTCTGATACTGATTTCCCACTTGTTGCTGTTTGTTTCTGTTTTGGGAGGGGAAATGATAGGTTGAGTGGATCAAGACAGTCATCTTGATATATTAAACATTCTTTTGTACTTGCTGGGTTTGATTATGATTAGTTTTCTGCAAAATAAATGCTCTAAAAATTACATTATCTTTGCTTTTTATGATAATTTTCTATCGCGATATTCCGTTGCCATGAAGGGATTCAGTTTATACCCTGATATGAATTTGAGGTCATACCGCCTAGCCTTACTGTGACATATTTAAAATTATTTTTTCCCATGTTGACTGTTTAACTCTGTATTTTAAGCCGCTGTTGGGACATTTTTGATATTTCTGACTACTTGTTGTTGTGCAAGAATCTTAAAAGCTATCAGGAAAGAGAAACTCTGAGCTGTTTTTTGGAAAGTTTTATAAACATATTGTGTGAGATGGTAGATTACTTTGTACATTGTCACCTTCTTAAAATAAACACTAAAGGGAAAATAGTAGGTGTTTCTCAGGCATATATTTAAATACTAAATAAAATAAAGTAAAATTTTATATCTTTATGTTTGAAACCTGAAATGTGTCAAAAGTTTGAAAAGTTCAAGCAGGCTGAATACTTTTGCAAGGCACTGTACCTGTTTCTGTTTAACCTGTTCACCTGTGGAATGCTCCAAACAAGCGGTCGTTCCTCAGCTCTCCTTTTGTTGCCCCTGTTCCCAGTTTTGTTGAACATGTTGCAGAAATCAAATTCAAAATGAGTGGATATTTATAAAAAATCAAAGTCTGTTAGATGATTATTTATCTTATATTCAGTTGAATATAAGTTGAAAAGGATTTGCAAATCCTATTCTGATTTTATTTGTTTTACAAGGCTGCACAATATTTTGCGAATACATCATTGTGGCAGTACCAGTGTGTGCAAAATTCATATCACAAAGAACTGATTGGAATGCAGTAGTTATAGACTAATGTATCTGAAGAGTTTTAAAGTTTTATTTTTATTGATAATGCAGGACAGAGTCTCCCCTAATTTACACTACATGCGTTCCGGCTCCGCTCCGCTCCGGTCCGACCTCTGCCACAAATACACACCCATTATAATCAATGAGAGTGTTTACACTGGCTGCGCACGGCGGTGGTGAGCAGACAGCGATCCGGCAAAATTAGATCCGATCCTATTTCTGCCGGACACCGGAGTCAATTTTTAAAAATCACGTGGCACCAACGGGAAGAGGAACAAGCACAACATCCGTATTTTCAAAATAAGACACTATTAGGCGTAATAATTTGTGGGAAAATGTCAAAATTGCAGCTATATTAATAAATATACGGATATATTTCTACACAAATGCTGTCAGAATGTATCGTTCTGTTTGGGAAGCAGATGGAAACGTAGCATGAAGCATATGTGTACACACATGATACACGTGGATTTTATTTATTTAAACACGACAGCGTTACAGTTTCAACATAGATATCAAAAGCTTTTATAATCTATGTTTTTAGCTGTGTTTGACGTTCATCTTTCACAGAATAAATTTTTTTTTGCTCTGACCCACATTTATCACCGAATTTATCACATGATCGCCTTCCTGCACATGCTTGTTAAAATGAGCTGCACTTACGTGTTTCTGGGAGCGTTGGTGTTGGCTTGAGTCATAAGCAATAAAACCATCATTCAGACTCCAATATTGGTTTTGTATGGTCCATTATCTTCACATTTTAATCAGTTCAACATTTGTGTGGTTTGTGCCTGGGTAAGACACGATTTCAGTAAAACAACACTAAATTTTCTTACAGTTGTGCTCCTCCTTTGTGCGTCGCAGCGGAGCGGAGCGGACCGGAAGCTGTAAAAATTGGGACACAAACGAACTGCTGCGAACTGCAGAGCAGTGGAGCGGAGACGCATGTAGTGTAAATCCGGGGGTCACGACAGCAAAAGCTCACGACAGACACAAATGAAATTGTCAAATATACCAAAGGTCACATAGAGTAGGAAGTACAGATTAGAACACAAGGAAAGGAAGAAAAGACGTATATCACACCTGATATTGTCATTGCAGTGTTTACAAATATCATCACCATTGCAAGATTTTCTAATGTTTTACACAACGTCCCAACAAGAAGTTGTGTGGAGGAAAATTGATCTCATATGTGTGAAAACTTGATTTGATTTTATGTTTTTGTTTTATCGTTTTAACTGACGATTATTGTTTGAATTTATACTTGAGGGAAAAAAGGGGCAAATATTATACTTCTCTCTGCTGCCTTTCATTTTATTTTACTTCATTGTATTTGTATTTTCTTATTGTACATAGCATTATTTTTGTTTTTTAAGAAATGAATGAAGTTTGAAATAAAATAAATAAAACTTGATAAGCATTCACACTATTAAAATTAGAGCTGGGCGTTATGACCCAAATTTTATATCACGGTATTTTCAATAATTACACCGGTTTCACTGTATTTGACGGTATTTATTTTCCTCACAACTCAGCTGATAATAAAATGTACAAACTTTGCTTATTGACATTTTTCTTTTACTGTACCTCTGTCTGACTGTTTCCCTCCTCTAAACGTCTTTTCTTCTTTGCCTGGTTGTAGACAGTAATCATGCATTTAGGTCTGATCATGAAGGGTTGAGAAAAGATCATTATCTGCTCTATTGTTACGTGTTAATAAAACTTAAAAGGATGACTCACTTTGCACATCAGTCAACTCAGCTCTACTACAAAACTACTTCCCCCTGGGCTTTTCACAATAGAAGCACGCTAGAGTCTCCATGCAATAACGTCTCCATTATAACGTAGCGCATTAAATCTAACCGTGTACGTCACTGAAGAGTTGTTTACTATTCAGCAATGGTGAAAACGGGATGTTTTTTTTTAAGGCAGACCATATAAGCAGCTGAAACACACCACCACCCGCCAGTTGTTCCAACAATAACGTTAGCATGCTAACGCGCTTAGCAGTGCTGCGAGGAAACATGTCCCTAGGGAAAAAGTTCACTGGCGGCCGTGATGAAACATTCCGCATGTGTTCAGGCTATTTACAGCGGTACTCAGAAAAGTCATATCATAACAAAAATAAAAACCGGTTTTCGGTACAAAACAGTATACCGCCCAGTACTAATTAAAATGTATAAAAATAATTTTAAATGAAGCTCATTTGATCCTCAGATATTTTGCTTATAAAACACAGATTCAAGCGAGCAGCTTTTGAGCAGTTGGTCATTTACAAAATGTAAAAAACAGAAAATTGACAGGATCAGTAAGAGCAAATATTAAGTGTAGAATTACATTACATTGTTGAATTAATTTTTAATCCAAAGTATAGCAAACTTTTAAAGTTGCCTCCTTTTTGTTACTTTTCCCCCCACAGCTGACAACAATCATCGTTTGAATCTTTTCTACCTTGCCAATGATGTGATACAAAACTGCAAAAGGAAAAATGCGATTGTGTTTCGTACAGCATTTGCTGATGCTCTCCCGAACGCCGTTCTGCTCATCAAGTGAGTACAATGTGTTCATTTTTATTCTGATCCAGTTTGATTCTTTTATTGTGAAAATACAAACCAGTTGTTCTACATCTGCTACCAGTGACATGTACCAGTGCTGCTGTCGTTTCGTTTTGTTTTGATAGAGATGGCAAAGTCCGCAAGTCAGTGGAAAGGATCTTTACAATTTGGGAGGAGAGGAACGTGTATCCCGAAGAGGTGATTGCCAAGCTCAAAACCAACTTGAACAAAAAGGAGAAAGACCGAGAGAAGCAAAAAGAAAAGGAGCGAGACAAGCAGAAGGAGAAGGAGAAAGAAAAGGAGAAGCAGAAGCAGAAAGAAAAGGAGGCGCCTCCTGGTAACAGCTATTATTCATATTTCAGATTTTTAATCTGCTGCCTTGTTTTCTGGAGTTATCACTTTTGAAATGACAACACAAAAAATAACAAGCTTGCTTTTTCTTATAGTTGGCTGAAGATCCATGTGTGGTATTTTTATTGTACCATGAATCATTACACATCTTTATGACATCACTCGTACTCACGCCAAGTGAAATACTGCGATGAGATGAGGGGCAGAAAGACCCCCTGTTAAAAATAAATATATAAAGCTGTTTTTAGGTGACATTGTCAATTTTGGAGTTCAGAACAAAAAAACATTTTCCCTCAAATTAGAAAACATGCCGTTAAAAAACAACAACAACAAAAAAAGAGAACATTTCTTACTTTCTGGAACATCGATAGATCGAAAGACAGAGAGAGGGGGAGAAAGAGTAGAGCAGCAGTCAGCTCTCCCCACCCGAGGCTGAAGGTCAACAGACGATCATGCTAAGCTTGCTAACTGTTCCACCCTCTGACTGCTGCAGGGGCGTGTCTTAGAGAGAGGCTTTTATACCAGAACACAGCCGCTGTGACGAAACTGTGGAGAAGACACGTCACCGTGGAGAGCCGTTAACCAATATGCAAATTAGCCTGCAGTACCACTGCTCCACCCATATGAGCAGCAAAAAGACGTTTTTAGACCAAATATTACAGATTTGAACAAATACGCACAAAAACATCAAAATTAGCACAGAAACAGTACTATATAACATTTTAGACACATTCTAGACAGTTTATCAGCTAAAAAAGTTAATTTTGGGGTAAGTTACTCTTTAAGACTTTTACTCAAGTAATATTCCTAAAGGAGACTTTAACTTTTACCAAAGTAATTTTTTGGTAAGATACTTGTACTTTTACTCAAGTATCACTTTGTGGTACTTTATACAACGCTGGAAATTTTTTTATCAAACATTTTTAAAATATGTGAAATTTTTTTATATTTATGCAGAAATAAAGACGGCTATTAAAATTTCACAAGCTTCACATCACCGTAAATTACCTTTTTATATCTGTTTATAAAATGATTTGGTTTAATATAAAATATTTTTTTATTCTTTAGCCCCCACCAGTGCTAAAGCAGCTTTGAAGTCCAAGATAGTTGCAGAATTCACAGTAAGTTTTCACTTCCTCTAAAAATGAATCTAAAGCAAAAAGTTCTGGAACATCACCCTAATTGATTGGCTCTTCTTCTCTAGCCTCACTCTCTCATCGAGCAGCTGTCGAGACAGAAGCGAACTGCAGCTGAAGAAGGATTCAGGGAGAAGCAGCTCGCAGGTTTCAGATTGGACGCCTACAACGCTGAGGCCTTCAAGAGACTCAAAGGTCAGAAAAGTATCTTTATCACTGCTAATCTTTTGTTCTTTTCAGCCTTAATCTCTACTTTTTAATATAAACCGTCTGGCTTGGTTTGATTTCTAGCGTGTTTATATTGAAACATTGAGATTTTTTTTCCAAAAACTTATTCATTTCATAAAAAAACATTGCATACAACAAGACAACACAAAATCAAATAAAACTAGACATGGGTTTTTACGATGTAAAAACAAGTGTGCATTGCCACGTAGCATGTCATTGCAGCATGGCTTTGCCTGCAGCATTGGACTTGCAGAATGAACTTTGACCAAGTTCAAATGTGTTTTCTATACCAGCTTGTGCCTGTCACGTCAGCAGGTGTTTGTAATTAAGGTAATTGTGTGACAATATGAAGTTTGAAGAGATTTTTTCTTAAAGTTGCATTAGCAGGGTTTTGGACCCTGATCTCCCACATGAAAGTCCATGACATAGACCATTAGGCCAATGGAGCTGTGGCAGAAGGTGGTGGCAGGGGTTGGTTTGTATGTGTGCAGAAAGAGGCCACATTGCCAATACAATTATTGACACTAAACTGCATAATATTACAACAATAGAGCAGTATTAAGACAATATTGTTGTAAAACATCAAAATACAATCATATTAGTATTGTAAACACTGAACTATTGAGATTAAATACAAATAAAACTATGGTGCAGTACCAAGTTGAGTACAGCTGGGGACAGTATTGGACCATTACAAAACCCCATTGACTCCCATTATATGAATTGGGAATAAAGTTTAAACATTAATATTTCAAAAACTACAAGTTGTACAGGTGCCAAAAGGCATAGCAATCATTTGGCACAGGACCTTTACAGATGGAAATTACAATGGCAGCTGTAGGACAAAGTATGCAGGAGGAATAGCGTGGCGACATGGAAGAAGACGGAATAATATGCTGAATAATAATAAAGAGAAACAGGAAAACAATAGTGTGCATTGGCAGTGCACACTGATGAAAGGTAGCAGAAGACGACATAAATCTTATAATTTAGGGGTGTAAGATACGGTGGAATTTCTGGTGTTACAAACACCTCTAATCCCTTCAGATTATAGCAACTTTCCATTTTTAACAAAATTTGGTAGAATGTTTGAAGGTAACACATTTTTATGAGCCTTAAACATAACCCGCAGAATATTATAATCGATCAACTCTTAAAACTTTAATAATTTCAGTTGATGAAATAATACATTGGGTGATTATAATGCTTTCTTGTGTGAATTCTTACAGCTCTTTTCTGCAAAATAAAAATAGGATTAGTGATTGTTTTACATTTCCCCCAGACTTCTATACAATAAATCAAATGTGGAACAATTATTGAATTATATAATATAAATAGTGCTTTATCATTAAATAAGTCCTTTACTTTTTATAGTACTGCAATAGATTTAGCTATTTTTGTTCTTAAGTATTTTGAGGAAACCTTGTGTTTAACATTAATGTCCCGTTTGTTAGACAAAGCAGGAGGAAACCAGTTTGCCAAGGACTTTGAAGACGGCAGCCAGAAGTTAGAGGAGTTCATCAGTTTCCTTGAGAAGGAGTTGAAAAACGGTCCGTCTCTGCTGGAAGCTTTGGGAAACGCAGACATCTTCTATGAGATGCAGTACAAAGAGGTTAAAATTGTGGCTAATGTGAGTACTTTGTATTTAAAAGATGGTGATTAAAATTTGAAAATGGGTGTTTTTAGATTTAATTATTGGTGCGTGATAGGAGGTTTTAGTGATTTTTAATTTGTATTCTCTTTTTTTTTGTCTTTATTCTTTATTGGAATGTCTTCTTCTGCCGTGTTCGTCAGGCGTACAATGCCTTTGCCAACCGTGTAACCAGTCTGAAAAGAAAACTGGATTCCCTCAAGGCGACGCTGCCGGGACCGGAGGACTCTCCCATCCCCTCGCCGTCTGAAGACGCTCCGTCGCCCACCGGATCCGACTCTCCTTTTCTGGAAATGGGTGTCGGCAGAGCTCAGGTGGATCCGGAGCTGGACGGCAAAGCTATGGATGAAGGAGATTTACAAACTGACAACAGAGACATGGAGGACATGGATTTATCTGATGAGGAGGCAAACCCTGTTCCAGCAGCAGGTTAGTTGCTGCGTTTTTGTTTTATTTGTCTGTGACCAAACAGCTAAATGTTTTATTAGTTATAGTGATTTGCAAACATATCAACTTATTCTTTCTTTCTCCCCTAGATGATAAAGACAACTCTTCCCAGTCTGTTTCAAAGTCGGACACGCCGTCGAAACTTCCAACTACGCCTCCGAATGTTTTAAAGCCTGCCGCCTCCGCCACAGCAGCGCCGGTGACTCCCACATCCACTAAAGCCACAGGTGCTCCCGCCACTCCTCTGGGAGTCAATCTGGCCAAAGTGGACCTCGGGAAGATCAGCTCTATTCTCAGCTCACTGACGTCTGCCATGAAGAGCACAGGTGTGTTTGTGACGGGAGAAAGTGACTCTTTATCTGTGTTTCCATTGCAAATGTGCGTGAAACTTTGTTGATATTCTGTTAATGTCGAAAAACACAGTTTCACAACTGCGGTGTTTCTATTAAGTAAGAAATACTATTAAAGTCACGTGAATATGTTTGTTCTCGTGATAAGTCATTACAAACATGGCGGCGATGGATGTAAACACAT